TCTTGGTGAGTTTCCTTTTGATATTTTGTGTGTAGCATCATTGTATCCCCCTCATATTTTTCTATTATCTGTTAAATATTGTTGAGGGTTCATGAAAACAGTTGATGGAGATTCACGAAGGTTATGCAAACTGGTTGATAACTAAAGCTTCAAGGTTGATGAAGGGTGATGCAATGAATATGATGAAGGTCGTGAATCGGGTTGAATAATGATTGAAGAGGATGCAAAGAATTTCATAGAGAGAGAGAGCAGAAAAATCTATTTCTTAGATAATCTTCTCGTGAGTTTTCTATATCTCATTTTTTTTCTTATCAATCGTGAACCCCCTATTTTATGTTATACTTTATGTTATAATATGTTGGGAGGTTAGTATTTAATCTTTTGATTCTGTTAACTGAGCTGGCATTTTCTGTTATGACAATTAGTTATGGATTGTTCGTTATGGTTGGTTAATGAGGAAATTAGTTAGAGCTGTTAGATAGATTGTTGGTGGAGATTGTTTAGTTAAAGGTTGTTAAATTCTTTTATCACAGTTGTGATGTGGTGAAATTAGTTAGAAAATCAGTTGAGCTTGTTATATTGGTTTTGTTGTTATGTTGGTTTTGTTATAAGCTTTGGGTTCGGGTCCAAGTTTCTAACTTGTTTTCTCTGGTTTTTCTATCATGACAGGCTTGAATAGTTGATGTTAGATGAATCAGTTTTTCTGTGAGATGGTTAAAAGTTTTTTAATTTTGAACTGGGACGTAAGTTGCTCATTCTTGAACTAGTTTGGATTTATGAATTCAGTATTTTTTATGAACCGATTTTATGGTTGCTGGGCTATAATTCACTTTGCTACTATTTTGTGTTAATGTACAGGGTGGCCGATTAATTGATGGATGTTAGTTTTTTTGAACTGTGTTTGGTTTAATGGTACAAGACTGGTTTATGATAGATGAAAGGCTTGCAAGGAAATGTTTTTATTATTTTGATCACTAATGGATGCAGATTTTTGAAGGCATAACATCATGGTTTGGCCCGACTTTGAGGCTAGTTTCTGAGTGCAACAAATCATGACACTGGAATGTCTTGGCAAGGTGTGAAGATTGGGCGTTCATGCGGCTTAGAAATTTAGCACTTTAGGAATTTTAGGGGCATGCTTTGTAATTCTTATCCTTTTGTAAACCTTCCAAATGTAACAACATGTTAGTTTGTGACTTGCTTGATGTAACTTTGATGGATATTTGAACGAAGTTCACCACTTTTTTTATCTGGCATTCCAAAACTCCATGAATGATCCACATGAACCTTGCAAATTCCATTAAATCATGCCGAAGAATGTTTTCTTATTCTAATGGCTTTCATTTTATTTATTTATTTATTTTGCCATGATATCTTTGAATGCTTCTTTCAGTGTCCTTGGGTGATGCTTAACATCTTGACTTGATGACCAACAATCTCAACACAAAAAGTAATGCCTTTGAGGAAACCCTTTGATGCAGATAGAGCCAAATCCCATGCCTTGAATACACATTGAAGAGGAAATGACACAAGATGTAAATAAGAGCCGAAATCCTAGCTTGAAGTACTCTCAGTTGAAACGCTGATAAAGCCCTGAGCAACTGTCTTTGATAAATCTTGGTGGAAGCAGACCCTAATTCCTCGAAATCCCTGATCTCAAGTCAAATTTTATTGATTAACGAATGAACGGTGTGTTAGATGACCTAATGGAGTTATGTACATGAATCTCACTTAAATTCACAGATTCGAGTCATTTTGCATTTGAATTGACCAACCTCCATTTGATGAAATGAGCTGGATGAGCTCCTAACCCATAGCTTACCCAACGGTACATATCTAAACTTGATAAAACTCAAAGCAATCTTTCAGTAAGGGAAGAGTAGCGCTCAGTGTAGCCTTGAAGTGAGACTTTAATCCCGTAAATCTCCATAGAAGAATCATTACCAAGCTTAAACAAAATGAAGAGAAATCATGATTCTCTGGCTGAGTTAGGCCTAATGTCTTTATTCCTCGAAAGAACTCTGATGAAGAAAAAGTTGTATCTTAGGGAAACCTGATAGCGAAAACATCTATGTTGCTTGAGATCCAAAACCCTAATCTCTTTCCAAGAAAAATGAGAGCGCCAGTTGAATCAATTTTGAGTAAGATAGAAAACTCAATTTAGAGAGAGAAACCCTAATGCCAAAGTGCTTCGATCTTATAACCATGAGACCCAATGCTATGAAATGTACAAAGTATGATGAGGGATCTTAGGGGGAAAAATTAGGGTGAAACACCTTCTCAAACAAAAACTTGGCTAGAAACCCTTTAACACCGCTTCTTGTTTCCCAATTTGCCACAACGTTGGACCGTTGTAAATACAAAGCTCGAGCAATCTCCTCACGTTTTGGGTCTCTTTCCATACATTTGAAGGGTAATTGATTGAGAATAGGCACTCCCAATAACTGAGAAAACTCTTCCATGGTAGGCTCTAACTGGTAACCGGGAAATGTAAAGCAATGGTGTAAAGGGTCAAAGAATTGAAAGAGAACTTTCACCATGTCTTCATCAGGGCTTGAGGTTACGAAATTGTGGAGTCGACCATATCTCTTGGTGAATGGAGAATTCTCAGGAACCCTTGATTCCAACTCTTTGAGTTGTAGAAGCACCCTTATGAGGTTGACTTGGATAGTGTATCCGCGAGTGGAAGCCATGTCCTACAAAACAACACAAAGTTAAGTCATAAAAATCCATGAAATGGTTAGTGCGACATGCCATGTTATGATTTCATGATGTTATGTACATAGGTAAGTACCCTCTTGAAGTTTAGTTGGTCCAACCTATCCTAGAAAGTAATTGGGTTATAGGGAATCTCAATATCACTGATCTTTCTTCATCGAGCATTGTTTCAGTGCAAGCCTCTTTATTTGCGACCGAAATATCCCGAAATCCCGATCTCAATGAGCATAGTATCGAGTATCAACCAACTTCAGACTACACCAAAGTCGGATATCTCACTACTTCCTAATGGCCAAGTTGTTCAATTAAAGGTTCTAAGGTCAGTTAGTGCTTCATGACGCCACACAGCGGCCCCGTATTCTCCTTGACTAAAATCAAGGGCTACCGATACCAACAAATGTGTGACACTAACGTAGCTATCGCTTCAACCATGTCGGTATACCCCACACAGTCCCCATGATCTATTGCTACTTACCTAAAAGGTGCCCCAAATCGGGTGTAGGATCCTTTAATAATATCCCAAACAAACCCTCAAAGATAAAGCATACAAAACACATAATGTAAAGCAAATAAATAATGAACTAAACTCTAAGGTAACCCCACTTTTTATTATTATCCCCAGCAGAGTCGCCAGTTCTGTAATAGGTGGGAGAAATGACTGTTATAATGGTTTTTCATTTGTATTTGAAAATGTTGCGGTAAGCAAGAGTCGCCACCAACTTTTCTTTTATCCAACAAAGGAAAGGGTGAAAAGAACATAAAAAGACCTTTCGAGAGTTTTCTAAGTAAGGGGGTAGATTATGGAAAGGGAAGGTGTTAACACCCTTTCCATCTGTAGTTATCTACGGGCTCTTAGATGCTTAGCTCATTTTGAAATACCTTATGCTTTATGTATTTTGAAAAGTATTTTTGAAATGACAATAGTAAGGCAACTTGCTTTATGATAACTCTTGTATCAGTCCTCAAGAGTGTTTATAAAGCGTTTTGAAAATGTTTTTTAAAGAAGTTTTGTGCGAGTGTAAAAGTTTGTTTGAGCAAGCATCTAACAACTATCTACTTTACTCGAAAGGTTGTTCTTTTCCTCTTTTCCTTTAGATAGTGCTATCCTACTATTGTTGCACCCCAAAATTTTCCCTCCTAATCGTATTTTTTTCTGGCTTAGACTTTGCATTCATCTGTATATTCCATTAGGTCATTAACATACATTTGCATTCAATAAAGCGCTTAAGGTTCAAAGTTCAGTGGTTGTGCAATTTTAGGGTTTAACAATGGTTAAGCCGTTCGTGTCTGATAAAGGCTGATTTCTTATTCAGGCAGCGAGCAGTGGAATTAGGGTTGTGACTTGGGTCGTTGAGAATTTATTTCTTCATCAAGACACGAGGCTATCAGGGTTTATTTCCCTATATGTGATCAAAGCCAGGTTTTCGACAATTGTGTTCCAATCGGGTTTTGTTTCGTCAAAGATCATGAGATTAGGGTTTGTTTTATCAAGGGACTTTTTTCAGAAAGCCTTATATTATGCGTCAGGAATTATCATCTTCAAGAGAATTTTTTAAGGATTTTAGCCTTATATTTTCAAGTGGACATGTTTGTGACTTGAATTACAAAAGTTGAAGCACAATACAAGATATGATGCAAAAGAGCACTAATTGAGTTAGACGAATATGAATAAAGGCTTTGATTTTGGGAAAAGTCAATATGAAAGAAGTTGTTTTCTTGACTGAATTCATGTATGAATATTATTGATTCGATTGAATGTTGTGTCATATCTTGAGTTCAAGACTGGTTCATTGAACAGGCAAACTGGTTGGAATTCGTTCACTGAGTCATGAAGTGAAGTGCTTATAGGATAATCAAATGGTATTAGAGAAATCTAAGTGTTGGTTTGCTTTCAAGAATTTGATTCATTCGAGTTTAGAGACCTTAGCCATAAGAGTTTCTTGGAATGCAAAAGATAAGAACCAAATGGCAAGGCATAGTCTTTCATTATAATTCCATTCAAGTGATTATTTTGGTTCAAGTTGTCAATTTTAGTATCATTCAAATACCGTTCAAAATCAATCCAAATACATTCCAAACCTTCATTTACATCATTCAAATTCAACATCTTAATATTCATCGTTCAATGTCCACTCGAAAATTCATGCTCGTTCAACCATTGTTTCTAGGCATCATGTAAATGTCTCTAAGCGATTCATTTTGAATTTACAAATTCATATTACATTCCAAAGAAACTACAAAAAAATTGTAAATTACACAAAGCTACACTAAGTCTATCCTGCCTAAACATTAGCTCCATTATTTTCCAACTTCATGATGCCATTCTTGCAACCTCCAAACTCTTTGTCAAACTTTGATTCAACCATGCACAAAATTCCTGCTGCAATAGGTTTCATGTCCCGGCTCCAAGTTTTCCAACCCTGCACTTTACAAAACATAAACAGTCCATAAGTTAAATCAGAAAAATAGTTTAGCAACTTGAAAACAAAACCAGTTCAGAAAAGAAGAATCGCGAAGATGCCATCTACACTATGCTAAAACAGTTGCCATGATAAATCCTGTTTCAAATTTACAGTTAGCATAAAATAATAATAGTCAGCCTTGCACGTTTAGAATTTAGCAGTTCATGACCATTCAAAACTAGGCTATATACCAGAATTTCCACCCAACCAAACCTTGTACCAGACCATAACTACCATGCATTAACAAACTCAGTCATTCCTAATTCCTCTGAATTCAAAACAAAATTGCTAACAGGATTTATGCTAAGCCTAACTTCAAACCAATACAAACTCATCCTAACTGTTAAAACATGATTTTATAACTAAACTCCTAACTGTCCATAACTGAATTAAAAGGTAGGTAGCTAACCTTTATCAAATCCATCTCACCCATTCCTTTTATAACAAATCTGCTGTGACGGCATGCTTCGGTCGAAATTAAATTTTCAAAATCAAAATAAAAACAGTTTGCATGACCTGCACATTAACATAAAGAACAAATGTAATTAGCCTTTAACCAAAATTATTTCAACACCAAAACAACCCTTCGTCTAACTATGACCCAAACCATTCAAGCTACCGATCAACCCTGCGCATGAAAACCTAAAATCAGTTAAGCAAGTTGATGGTTGCAGTCCAGCATTCGACAGAAAAATAAAAATTCAACTCTTAACTGAATTTGGTTTCAGCATAACAAAAATCAGCAACTTCTAATAGAAGTCACAACAGCTCGACTTTCGTTCAAATCTCAACCATTCATTTTTCCTAACTAATTTTCAGATTAACCACTCAAGTCAAAATAGATCCCTAATTGATTTTCTAACCAACTAACAGAACTTCCAAACAGGATCCTAACTTCTCTAACTGTTTCCTAACTTCCTAACTGTCGAACATAATTTCCAAACTGTTTAAAAAAACAAACTAACAGTTTCTAACTACTTCTAATTCCCTAACTGTTTTTCTAATAAGCGTCTAACAGAAAAATAAATAACTTTCATTCCTAACAAAATGTAACCGAATCAGTTACACATAACAAAAGAGAACAAACTATAAAAAACAAAAAATTACCTAAGATGAAGGGGGAGTGATCTTCTGGATTCTGCAGAAAAATCATAAAAAAAGGGGCTCTCTCTTGAGAACCACTCTACAACTTCAACCTTCTTTCTCCTCCTCTCATCCTCATCCTTTAACCTGGCCAAACATCCATCTTCTCCACAACCTCACTCTACAATCTCATTCATCACGATAATCTTTTACATAAATCACCAAAAAAAAAAATCTCAAATCCGTCTCTACACTCTCTGAACTCTCTGAGTTTTTCTTCACGTCTCATCAACACCATAACTATTCTTATTTCCTCATCTTTACCATTCTTCATCTCACCCCTCCCTGAGCCGTTATTTCTCCCTGAACCTCTTCAAGAATCAACATCATCTTCGATCTCTATTCTTCATCGCATACAGAATATCATCACCACTCCATAACCAGACTTCAATTATCTTCATCGTCAATAAATCTACAAAAAACGTACACACATCGCACATGTAACAGAGCAACACCGAAATACAGAGGAAGTAGAAAATTGAATCGAAGAAAGAGTTTTTGGAAGAAGGGGAAGAATAGAGCTCACCACAGACTCAAGGCACTTCTCGGAGTTCGACATCGGCGCCACTGTCGAAGTAAGTGTTTCACTACCTTCTTGATACAGACACGTAGTTCTCATTCCCCCGGGATTTTCTCCCATGGTTTTAGCTCGAATGGAGTAATCTGCATCGTTCAATTGAAGCTTCGAGACTGCTAGGGTTTCCGATTTAGAGTGACCTCGCAATATGTTAGAAGGATTTAGAGCTTAGTTCGTATGCATGGTTCAATGTGGATGAGGATTCTAGGGGTGAAATGGCGGTGGCGGATCCATGATATTCGCCATAGAATGGGACGCGTCGGTTCACAATGAGGAAGAAAAGGAGAACCTGTTTTGTGAAGTCCAAAGGCCACTTCTTCTAACTCCAACCAGATTCTCCAAAACGGCACATGGGCCTTTCTTCATGGTTTGAGCCCATGGTAATCATTTTTTGTTGCTATATAAAAAAAACATGCATGGATCCCCTTTGGACTGGGCTCAGCACCCATGCTGCATCGCTATACTTCAGCACCTCCTGCTTACAGATTGCACCCTTTTTTTATTTGCATTTTTAAAAATGATTTGGATAATTATTTAGTTTGAACTCTTTATTCACATAATAAAAAAAAATAACAAAAACATTAATAAAAAATGTTAGATTTTTGTATTTGTTTTTTTTTAGAAATTAAATCTCGATTATCTGATTACTTAAGGTTGGTAGCTTACCTTTGCTTGTTGAGATTTGAGTCTTATGCAGATTTATTGCGCGATATACAGATATGCTTGAGATTCGATTGCGATTTATTTTCACATCAATGATGCTTCGGCGCTTATTCTGGGCATTTGATTTCTGACTCTTTTTCGTTGTTTGGATATTGATGCGATCTTTGCAATGTGGAATGCTGGGAGATTAATTCTTTGATCACTCACGCGGAGCAGATTTTGGTAGAGTTTTCTTATTGCTTGCACGGTTTCAAAGAGGCAACAGACCTTCTCCGTTCGGTATCATCACAACCTCATTTTATTCCTCATCTCCACATTTATCGCTTCCTAGGACCACCATTGTATAATAACATTAGGGATAAGTTTAGGCTAGTCTCCCTTAGATGTTTTTTTCTTTCTTTCGCATATGCATTTAAAAACAAAAACTTCTTTTTTTTTCTTTTTTGGCAAACTTCAAAAATACTTAAACATTATTGACGAGAGTCGTGCCGTTGTTGAACATGGGAGATGATAAGCGGGTCTCTTCTCAATCTTATCGTTTTTTCATTCTAAGCCTTGGCATGGTTCAAGTCTCAAAGACTTATTTCATGAATAAGTGGAAAAATGACTAAAATCTCTCTCTTGAGATTAACTAGCTGTTACCCACAAGCAAAAACACCAACAAATATAAACTCTTTCCACCTTAGGGCTTTTCTCCAAAAAAAATTCAAAAGAGCATGTTAATTCACTTTGGTGCTTACGCGTAAGTCTCCAAAGGTCGAGTTGCGGCAGAAGGCAAAATTAATGTGGTTCATTAAAAAATACAAACCAATAAAAAACATATGAGCCGAACTACGGCTGCTCTGATTCCTTAAAAGGAATACGTAGGCATTGGGGTAGGGCCGGAACGAGCAAAACTTTTATTTTCCCTACATTCTTTTCTCATTTCTTTTGCATGCATTCTCCCTTCAGTAGTATAGTAAAAAATAAGCATAGATTAAACACACCCATAAGATAGACGACAAGAGTGGATACCGTAGAGTACTACGGGCGTGTGGGGTGCTAATACCTTCCCCTCGCGTAACAGACTCCCTTACCCAATCACTCGATCGCAAGACCGTGACTTCTCCTTTCTCAGGTTTTCTCGATGTTTACCTTTCCCTACATGTGGGATAAAAGATGTTCGATGGAGACTTCATTGTCTGATGGTTTTCAGCCGGTTGTTTCAGCTGGCGACTTCACTGGGGATAGGTCGACCAAATGATGGTCCATCCCGGAGTCGATCCTAGCTCTTGTTTTCTTTTCTTTGGGTGTTTATTTTTATGCTTTTAGTTTACTTAGTTATACATGTTTATCTGAGCATATGTTTGCATTGCATTTTATTGCTTTCCATATTGGTTATCTGTTGTGTTGGATTTTGGTTTTCCATGTTGGGTGGGTGTTACTATTGAGGTAAAAGCCCCAGTACCTAGGCTAGAGTGCAATAGGACACTAGGAATATAGTGGGGGCATGACGGCTATAGGACATGGTCCGGTTAGTGCAATCATGTCATATACCACGCTCGGATGAGGTTCAAATGAATTACTATCGGCACCCACGTCTGTAGGTAAGCCCATAGCACTTTGAGGCGGACATGTGATTGCGAGTTACCCTTGCCTTACCCTGACCTAGTCTTCACCCGTGAGAGGGGAGGGAATTCTTATTACAGGTACAGTTGGTGACTATGTTTAGACGGTTACTCATGCTCAGATGGAGACTATGATTAGACAGTGACTATTGGTTCTAATGGTTGTGTTCTGGATTTCTGTTGGTGACTTATTCAGATGCTATATTCTGTTGGCGACTATGTGGTTCTCAGATTTATTTTGAGTTCCTGATTTGTATACTTGGAGGTTCATTCAGGCCTTCGATCTTCGTATTCCCAGCATGTTCATAAAAGGTTCAACGGTATCCAGTTCCAGAAGCCTTGATCCCGTACAATCAGTGATCTACATAGCACTTGGTTCTTATATGTGCAGAAGCTATGACAAACCTTTGACTTGATGATACTCAGAAATGATGGAACCTTGATCCCATTTGATCTCATGCCTTTGCATACATAACATGGTTAACCACATGCTTAACATACATGTTCTATTATTTCCAAGGAATCATATTTGCAAGCCTTGTGTTGAACCTTTCCATCTTTTACTTACGTAAAATCAAAATCAAAGCACGTAAATTCCTTGGGAATAAAGGAACATGACATGGCATCCATTCATGCACTCCATGCATATTCATGCATTCATAATAGGTACTCGAAGATTGGGGATTCTTATTCATACATGGTGCTCTCCTTGGAGGTTCAACTTGATTTCTTGCTCCACATGTTCAGAGATTGGTTATGGAATAACTCTGTGATATACATGCAAGCTTTGGCCCGTGGTCAGAAATCTCTTCAAGCAGGAAGATAATTGATTGAAAACTCAGATGAGCCAGGTCATGAAAGCTATGATGACAATGTCAACAATATTGCACCTACTGTCACAGTAAAGGTTCTCTCTTCTCCTCATCTTTTGGGAATTGCTTCCAACCATGAGGTGCTACGCAATCCTAAGTTCTTGGAACATCTTATCAGCAGATGGTTCCCATTTACGATAGGATCTTATATCAGTGCTTCGTTCTTATTGACCAACGTTAGATGTGGTTGCCACACCGGGGCATCAAACTTTTTAATCAGGGGCATCCTCCATAACTTTGTGTTCACTGATCTGTTCAACAGCAACCAGTCTTTGCTCCCCTGGTGAATTCATGGAAAAAAAAAAGCTTTTAAGCAAAGACAGAAGAATCCTGATGAGCATGCTGTTACACGCCCATTGCATAACATCCTATTATCTCCAACTCTGAACTTTGAGGTCTTCCTCCCAAAAACATCTCTTCTGATTTCCATACACAGGCTAGATGCATCCCCTATTCTGGGGTACCCGGTTTTGATATTAAAGACTACAAAGGGGTTGAAATATAAAGCCCAACACCTGTTTTGCGTCTCTTTCAAAGGTCTAATTCCTATTTGGCCAACTGCCACACTCTTTTTTGCCAGGTGGATGTCTCCTTTGTACTGATAGAAGACAAACTGTATTATCTTTTTTGTAGCGCAAAATGCCTGATAATGCAGTTTATATCGATTCGCTTGGAAAAGCATTCATTTGTTTTCTTGAAATAATCTTCTATGCGTATTATTCTGGGGCAACTGATCATTCGATTGAAGATGGTACCTCATCTAGAGACAAGGTCCAAGACGAGATCAATCTGGAGACTGTGGTGTCCAAATCATATCAGAAGAGGAATTCTCTCACTCACCTCATGCATCTTCATGCATCTTCATGCATCCATAACAGGTACTCAGAAGGTACTCAGAATGGGGAATCCATATTCAGACCCGATGTTTTCTTTTCAGAACTGCAAATCTTGACTTCTCGCCGCTCCGTGATGAGATTCAAGTTATGGAAGAACTCCGTGGGGAATTGGACGAGATGAAAGAATAGATGGGGTTTGTTACTGCGGGACATACATGATTTGGTCTGTGGACAAGAACTCTTGAAAGAAGAAAATAGTCAGTTGAATACTCAATTGAATTTGGTTATGGAAATTTTGGGGACAATGTTGAATAAAGAAGATGTTTCCATGCCTGCTACAATAGGATCTACCATTCCTCCCTATATTATGGGGACTCTTTTAAGTCAGGGAGTATCTCCTCCACCACCTTGTGTTCCAGGATCATCCCATCCGCAACCAGTTGTCACTTCCCAAGAGGACCCAAAAAGACAAAGTCCGTCAGCAGAGGCCAAAACATCCTGAACGACAACTTGATCCTATTCCAAAGTTGTATGCACAATTGCTTCCCCCCTATTAAGATTTCATTTGGTCAAACTCTGAATCTTCACTACACACGAAAGGCTACCTCGTGGCTTTAACAATAATTCTAGGTGTAAATTCCACTCTGGAGCACCCGGTCATGATACTGAAGATTGCATGGCTTTTAAGCACCAAGTCTAGGACTTGCTTGATGCAGGGACAATTCTCTTCACTCTTGAGGGTCTGAGCATGCAAATCAATCGTATGCCAACTGATACAAAGAATATGGTTACACCTTCTCCTCTTTAAAGTTCAATCTCACGACTTGAGTCGCATCATTCACAACCTATACTCTCAGATAGTTCTCACCAATAACTGTTTACAATTTATGGAAATCAGATGGTTAATCAAAATCATAATGTTCCTCATGTTCATCCAGTTCGGTGTGCTACTCAGCAGCAAACCCATCAACAGAGACGTATGCAACAAGAAAAACAAAGGGATATGAAGCCAAAGAGGGTGTTCGACATTGTTCCCATGATCTATGGATAATTGTTCTCTCAGTTGCTCAAGCTTTACTTGGTGG